GACCAAGTGAAATATGAAAGTCTAAAACTGAACAAAAATTTGGGTATTAACTATTAAATGTGGTCACAGTTGAAATGCCTCCATTTTTTCTGTTTGTCAATAGTCAACATTCTAAAATTGTCTCTTAATGTGGGAGTGCATGTTTTGGTGGCCAAGTGATGATTGTCCAACTAACGCCTGGCCCAGGGGATGCTGCTCCTGGTAGCAGTTTTCTAAACATATTGGCCTCAAGTATTAGAACTTATACCTGCATTTGCAAGAGCTTCCATGTGCATGGTTCAGGTGCTTTTCAATTTCTTCTTAACTCCTTCTTCTTTTATGTTTTGAATTTTTTGTTTTGTTCCTTTCTCTTCCTCAAACATGAAGTTATTACCCCAGTTGTCAAACTCATACTGAGTTATTGCTTTAGTGAAATAAAACAAAATTTTGGATCAGTCATACATGGAAAAACAGTCCAGTTCATAAGCAGTAGCAGAAGAAGGGAGATGGAAGTAACTAAGAAAAGAATAGCCTTAATTTGCAGACGGATAGGACCTACGGCTTCTGACCTATGACAGGGAGCAGAGCCAACAGCTCCCCCTGAGCTATGGCCAAGTCCTGTCTCCCACCACCCCAAGAAGGTCCACCTTCCCATCTTCTGTCCCTACCCCCAAAGTCCCCTAGTTGGTTACTTACATCTGACATCAGTGATCTGCATTAGAAACTCTTCTACCTGCTCCTCTGGTTCTGCCATTGCCTGCTGTACTGCTACCTGGTCCTCTGACATTTCCACAGAATCTGATGTTGCTGTATTGTCACCTGTTGGCTGTTGGAACTCCATGACAGAAGCACTTGCCTGCGGCCGGCTCAGGCCAGACTTGGCTCTGGCACTGGCTCAGGACCAGGCCCAAACCCATGCCCTCACACTTACCCTTTCCCTCGCGGGGCGACCATGATGCAGGTTGCCATTGTGTCCCCATCCTCCTCCCTCTTCCTCTGCTGGTCCGATGTCTGAGTCGTCTCTGGCATACTCTTTGTCCTTGGGGTCCTGCCCTCCGAGAATTGGGCTTGCTCACCTTCCTCTTTCTTGGGCCTCTCTCTGGCCCTCAAGACCTCCACCTCCACCTTCGTTCACGTGTACAACCTCCACTGCCACCCTGAGCTCCAAGACTTCAGAGCCATGCCTCCCACATCCACACCAGAGTTTAGCCCCATCCCTCTACCCACCAGACCACTCTACCTCTCTTTTCACCCAGATATGAAGGCGCTCCTGGACCAAGGTTTCATTTTCTGTGACATATTTCACCAGTGCTTGAGGCTCATAGAAGATGGCGGTCTGGTTACCAGGCCAACGACTGTAAAGATGGCGTCGGTAGCAATAATGGGCATAACCAATGCCATGGCTATGACTGAGACCGTAACCATGACTGTGACCGTGACTGCTATTGCTACCATGACCGTGACCGTGACCGCTACCGTGACTGCTGCCATGACGGCTGCCGTAACCGTGACCGTGACTGCTGCCATGACGACTGCTGTAACCGTGACCGTGACTGCTGCCATGACTGCTATCATAACCGTGACTGTGACCACCACCGTGACCGTGACTGCTAGCGCGACGGTGACGGCGACGGCGCTGTCGATGGCGACGGCGGCTGGCAGCGCCACGGTGACCCCGATGCCCACGGTGACGGCGAGGGTAACTGAGGCTGAGACTATCACCATGGCCTCGGCCTTCGTTGTCCACTAGTGATTGCTGGTAGAAAACCATTGGCAGCAAGCTTGACCTGTTAATGGGAGGCCATTGGCAGTGGACCAGAGGGGAACAGGAGAGGGGTAGGATCAGAGGTAGAGCCCATTACTGGGGTTACAAGTGCCTACCTTGGTGCTTAGAAAGATCCCGCAATGAAAATGGCCGGAGAGTGATCCGTAGACCAACGGGTGAAAACTTCCGTGAACAATTCCAGTAGGTGGGAGAATTACTGCTAGCCCGTAAAGGGTGGCGTCATGACGTCATGATGAACGCTAAACTCATTTGCTGAAAACTGAAGATTGACATCCCCTCTGGCCAATGAATGATCAAGATTCTTAAACTCGAGGACTACCCAGATTTTTTTTTTCATTTGTTGTTAGTAACTAGGGATACTGTTTAGGTCCAAATCAGTTCTTCCCTTTTAATTTTACAATTATTGATCAAAGTTTAGTGATCCAATGTAGAGGGAACCCTGAGGCATATTTATAGCACATAGTTTCTTAATTTCTGCCCAATGTCCCATATAAGTAGCGATAGCTCATACAATTAACAAACATATTAAGACCGTAGAAAATAAAATACGAGAACAGGTGTCGGTAAGAGCAATTTGGGGGTGAGAAGATGTCTAGGAACAGTATACATTTAAGTTTTAAACTCTTTTTATTTTTTTCTCTATTTGATACAGGGTCTCACTATGCAGCTCGAACTCATAACAATCCTGTTTTTAGCCTCCCCAGCACTGGAATTACAGGCCAGGTGCCACCATGCCCGGACTCTGTAGCTTGCTCAGTGTGCCCTAGGGCGGGCTGGGTGTGACATAAGGTGCATGCTTAGTCCACTGAGCTATCCTGTTGGCCCTTCAAAATCTTAAATATTAAAGCAGTTCTTAAAATTTCCTTTCTAAAAGCACAATGATTACAATTTTTTTTTAATCCATTTCTGGAACTGAACCTAGGGCCTTGTGCCGAGCTGAACTACATCCGTGGCCGTACTGTTTTTTCTTTTTTAAAATAGAGTGCTAGAGATGTTCCAGACCTAGCTGGACTGGCTGGCTAGCTTGGACACATAGTGATCCTCCTGATTTCTGCCTCCCTAATGCTGGGAGTACAGGTGTGCACCATCATGCCCGGACTCTGGCTGGACTTTAAATACTTGTTTTTGTGGTATTAGTGACTGAACCCAGGGATTTTGCACTGAGCTATATCTCTCCAGCCATTTTTAAATTTTGAGACAGTGGTAAAGTTTTGAGACAGTGACTAAGTGGTTAAATTGCCAAGCTTGGGCTCAAACTTGTAATACTTCTGCCTCAGCCTCCCAAAGTGCTGAGATTACAGGCATGTGCCACCATACTGAACAAATTTTTAAAATCTAAAGCAGGAGCTGGAAAGGATGAATCTCAGTGGTAGTGTGCTTGTCTAGTATGTGTGAGGTCCTGGGTTTAATCTCCAGCACTGCATTAAAGACAAGCCCTAAAGCAAATATTTCTCTTAATTCCCTTCTCCACACCATAACCCCTACTAGAATGTTGACCAGGTACTGTGGTTTTTTGGATGTATTAGCATCAAAACTTGTTCTATAAAACCTACACTCCTATAAGGGCTTTATGTGGTCAGGTGCTTGTACTAATTGTCCTAGAACGTTTAAAAGTCTTTCCTAGCTAGAAATGTCACACTCATTAGAGAACAAGGGAAATACAGAAAAGTTGGCAAACAAAACCACCTGCATATCATATAGACTTGCAAACCTACTGCCAATATTGTGGTATGTTTATTTCCTGACTTATACATATATGGTATAAAATGGCTACATTGATTACAGAAATTTTTTATTTTTTTATAGACAAAATGATTCTTTGATAAATTGTTTTACATATAATGTCACATTTAATAAGTTCTAAAGTTTATGTTCATAATTATGTTTACAAATAATATATTTTAAAATGTTTTTGGTAAAAGTATACAATTCTTAATTTTTTACATTTTATATTTGGGATATATACATAAATATATATGGTAGAGTACTCAGGTACTTAACTTTAAATGTAACTGTAAGTGCATTTAAAAAATGAAAAAAATAAGCTGCAAAGAAATGATCAGCATATAAAAAGTCAGATTAAATATATGGCAAAATATTACCAAATTTCTGGTTATAGAATTTAAGATAATTGTTATGCTTTGTTCTGAGACAAGGTCTGATTTTGCAGGCTGGGCTTGAACTCACTATGTAGTCCAGGGTAGCCTGAACTTGATGTCATCATCCTGCCTCCCAAATGCTGAGATTACAGGTGTGTACTACCATGCTCACCTGAGATACTTTTTTTTGAATTAAGTAATATTAAGTTTTTTTCCTTTCTTTTATATATTTCATAAATATGTGAATTTCTAAAATGGGATCACGCTGTTGCCCAGGCTGTCCTCAAACTCTTGGCTCATGAGATTTTCCCAAATCAGTCTCCAAGTAGCTGGGACTATAGGCATGCATTACCATACTTGCCTTCTGTTTATAAATTTTAATTTGTCAAAAACATTTTATTAATGATATTCATAGCTTGATGACCTTTAATGTTTTCTCCTCTATATTTATATTACATTATCCTGCAAAAAAATTGAAAACAATAGAATTGTAAATATGTATCCCCCATTTGCGATAACTGCCTGTAAGCTTGCAATTCAACCAGCACACAACCTCTATGTTTTCAGACGTCTCCAAGGCAGGGACAAACCAGTGAATCACATCCTGTATACTTCCTGCTGTGGCATGCAGTTCAAGTTTTCAAGGGCCCATCTGGAAAGTAATCTGTATTCAGTGACACGTGGATAATTGAAGGTCCAGTTGTGAAGTTTATGTGGGGAACTCCTATAAGCTGAAACACGGACTATAGTTTTGTGATCCAACCTATTCCTGTCACAGTGTACGAAGTGCATATTGTTATCTGGGCCCAAAATGAGGGTTCCACCTTGCTGAGCTGGGTCTCCTTGGAAATCAAAGAGAGGGCCAGTCACTGTCTGCCACAGGCCCCACAGACTCGACTTGATGTGGGCGTGATGTTCTGACGAGGAAATTTCTTCACCTCTTTTCATCCCCAATCTTTTATAAATTTCCCTCTCAGGATCAATACAGATTTTGTGAGAACATCCAGTCTGTGGAATGGCTCATTATGATGGTAGGATGATTGTCCAATCACTGAAAGGCTGATATCTGCTTTCCCTATGAAGGAAGGGGTTCTTGGCCAGGTCTCCCACGTACTACTTGCACCACAGTAGAGGACATGCTGCATGAGCAGTACCACGGCAAGGTACTCCTGGAACAGCACCCCAACTGCAGCTGCTGGCTGCGCGTCCTTTGGGGGGGTCTGGAAGGGGCCAAGATGGTGCCTCCGGGGACCTGCTGTGTGACTGGCGCCGCCATTGCAGTCAACACTGGATGCTGTGGCTGCTTAGGCCATTGGTGGACATGCACACTGACTGAGAGATACTTTTTTAAAAAAGGCACCAGTTCATATAAGAGCTAAGTATACAAAAGGCAATCTTCTTAGGATATTTCCGTGCCAAAGGAATGTTTTGTTGGTTTGAAGACCAATTTAATTATTTTTTCAAGTGTAATTCTGATGTTATGGGGAAATCAACTTTGGTTTTATACTTATTCTGTAAAAATGTTTTGTAACACCTAAGTTTGTCTTTAAAAACTTTGTAATATAGTACGTATATTGGGGAAAGATTTACTTTAATCCCATCGAGGTTAGCAAAGGCATTTTTCTTTTCAACAACTCAATGACATTTCAGTAATTTTTTTTTTACTCTTTTTGACACAAGATCTTGCTGTGCAGTTTAGTCTGGCCTTGAGCTCACTTTGTAGCCCAGGCTGAACTCTAACTCACAACAATCCTCCTGCCTCAGCCTCCCCGGTTCTGGGATTGTAGGAGTGTCCCACAAGGCCCAGCTCATTTCAATAATTTTATCTTTCCACTCATTCCATCGTAAAATCAGAAGAAAGTATTATTATAAATCATTGCTTTAAAAGGTGTTTTTTTTTTTCTGGCTCAGGATGCCTTCAGGGCAGGTCTGGTATGGCTTGAGGATCTGGGGACTGAACCACAGTATCCTGATTCCTTTGTTTAAGAAGTCTCTTAAATAACTAAGCTAATGGGCAGGCCCCCAAATCATCGCTTTAAATCTGGAAGCAATGTAGAAAATTTCATATCTAAAAATGTTTACTGTAAAGAGGGCGAACCTAAGAATCCCAATGTGACATTTAGAATTGACATTAATATTTGGGTATGATCTGGGGGAATTATTTATTTCTAGGCCATAGTGTTATCTTTAGTCACAAAAATGATCAGCTGGTTACTTTACAAAGTTGTTCTGAGAATCAGATAAAATAATGGGATGGGTGGTGGGTGGGAGCACGAGGCACAATTGACCCAGGCAAACCAGATGAGCCCCCAGGGTGGATGTATCTGAATCCTGCTTTGCACCCTGCTGAATGCTGCCTTGGGGGAAGGAAGACACCACTGTGTCCCACACCCAAGCCTCTGCCCATCATGCATGAGGCTGTGGCACCTCAAATCCAGCACCCCTTTCTCTGCAAGGTCCAGCTACTGGTGTTTCGACTGTAGGGGTGGGCCCTGGAAAATATACATGAGTGTGTGTGTGTGTGTGTGTGTGTGTGTTGTGTGTGTGTGTGTGTTTTATTTTGGGTTAGTTGATAGAACAGTTGCAAAACTCATACAGATAATATGAACTTTACCCAACCTCACTGAATGTCAACATCTCACACAACTGTAGAGCAAATGTGAAAATCAGAAAATAGCAGAGGTGTAATATTGCCATCAAAGTGAGACTTTGTACATTGAATCACTTGTTGCACTCCTATCCCTTTTCTGGCTCAAGACACAAAGCAGGATCCCACTTCAGCTTTAGTTTTAATGTCTCCTGAGACTTTTCCTTGCTGTGGGGGTGTTCTCTGTGTCTTTTGTGACCTTGACACATTTATTTATTATTTATGCATTTTTATTTGTCCTAGATGTCTGCTTACTTTCTTTTGTTTTGTTTTTGTGTATCATACTTTTTTATTCATTTTAGTAAGAAAAAATATAAAATAGCACTGAAAGTTTCAAAATAGGTTAGTGGGACAGTTATATAAATTAATATATTGCATATTGTTTTCTTTATAGTAGTTATTCAGAGGACAAGATGCAGACATGATATTTTGTCTAAACAATATCAGTACAAACCTTTCTTCTCAATGAACTAAGAGAAAGTAGCTGTATCTATCTCGCATATACATATATATATATGTATATATATATATTTTTTTTTCTTAACAAAATGATCCTTTGTTTATATCCCCCCTTTTTGTTTTGTTTTGTCAGAGATGGGTGTTCCTTTGCAGTTAGAGAAGCTGTATTTGGAGAAGTCTTTAAGGGATCTTTTCATGCTTCATGCCAGTCTAAAGATTGTAGGCACTTGAATTCAGCAACTGGCAGTTGTCTGAAGTTGTTGACTTGAGACTTTTACAGCTCAGCATATTAATATAGCTTTATTTTTTATTTTTCCTGCCTACACTTTTCTGCTGGATGATTAATATTATTTATTTTTGACAGTACTAGGACTAGCACCCAAGCTTTTGTTGTTCTCCCTTTTTTTTTTGAGATAAGGTCTCTAAATTGCTAATTTCCCCAGAGTTGGGCTCAAATTTGAAATCCCCTACCTTTACCTCCCAGAGAACAGCACCACCTAGCCGACCTTAACCCTTTTTGAAGAATCCTGATGGCTCATTTCATTTATCTATCTATGTAACCCAGGCTGGCCTGAACTTTGAGGCCATCCTTCTGCCTCAACCCTCTGAGTGCTGGCATTAAAGGTATGTGCCACCATAGCCAGTTATTTCATAGTTTAGTTTTCACACTGTTTAAGTCTTTGTAATGGCCCATCTCACAGAGAGGAGAGCCCCTGAATTGGTTAGACTTTCTTGCTGTAGCAAGCTCAAATTTTGCCTATTTTTTTTTTGAGAATTCAACAATCGTTGTTATATTTCACTTTGTTTTCTTCAATGTAGTTGCTTAAATTACCAGATACAAGCATATAAAATATGTGAAAATAAGGGCTTGCCCGATAGCTCAGCAGACTAAAGTGCCTGCTTAGGCAGAGCACAGTGGCCAGGGTTTGATCTTGTGTCATGCCAGCCTCACCCCCGCGGGGCACTGAAACAACAATTGAGATTGGGTGTGGTGGTGCACACCTGTAATCCCAGAAGTAGGAAGGCTGTACACAGGAGAATCCCTATGAATCTGATCTACGTAGTGAGACCCTGTAGACCCTGTCAGAAAAAATAAATAAAATAAAACGTGAAAATAAAAATTTTAATCATTAACTGTTCTCTGCAGAAAAACAATAGAGATTAGCAGTGCAATCATCTTAGCTATCTGGTGTATATACATACATGGCTTTTTCCGTTCCATTTTTTCTTTTTTTCTCCTTTCCCTCATCCCTACTGTTCGTTTCTTTTGAATAGATTCTTTCTCTTTTACTATTTCTATGGTATCTTTCAGATTTTATTTACCCTTTCAAATTTTCAAGCAAGGGAAAGAAAACTATGTTTACATATATGGATCTAATTTATTTTACTTATGAGTATATGCCTCTTGTATCCATTTACCAATAAAAGCCTCAAGTTTATCTTTATAGCTGAGTAATACTCCATTGTATAAAAATACCACATTTTCTTATCCATTCCTCAGATGATGGTCATCTGGGTTATTTCCAGGATTTAGCTATGACAAATTGTGCTGCTATAAACATAGGTGCACATATATCACTGTGGTATGATGTTTTCAGGTCTTCTGGGAAAATTCCCAGAAGGCCAATAGCTGCATTGAATGGGATTTCCAGTCCTAGTTTTTTGAGGAGTCTCTACATTGATTTCCACAGTGGTTGTACCAGTCTGCATTCCCACCAACAGTGCAGAGGGTTCCTTTTTCACCACAGCCCCTCCACCATTTGTTATTGGCTGACTTCTTGATGGTAGCCATTCTTCATGGGGTGAGATGGAATCTCAGTGCTGTTTTAATTTGCATTTCTCCAGTGACCAATGATGCTGAACATTTTTTCATATATTTACTTGCCATTCACATTTCTTCATCAAAACTGTATATTCATCTCAGATGCCCAGTTTTGGATTGGGTCTTTGGATTTGGGAGGCTTGTTTTCTTTTTTCTTTATATGTTATAGATAAAGGCCTTTGTCAGAGGGAGAGTCAGCTATAATTTTTTTCTCAGTTTGTGGGTTTTCTTCTTGCTCAGTTGGAGATTTGCTTTGAAGTACAGAAACTTTTCAAAAACATGATATCCCAGTTGTTGATTCTTTGAGGTATTTCCTGCACAGTTTGGTTTTGCTACTGAAACCTCTACCAGCCCCTAAGAAATCTATCTTCTTTCTCTTCCTGTAGACTTAGTTTTTCTGTTTTAGTATTTAGATCTTTTTCTGTTTTGACTTTAGTTTAGTTCTTGGTAACAGACCTGGCTCTAGCTTTAGTTTTTGGCATATGGAAAGTCAGTTTTTCTAGCACCAGTTATTAAAGAGGCTATCTTTTTTTCCAGTGAAAGTGTTTAGCCCTCTGTCAAAGATAAGGTGGCTAAGTGTTGGTAGTTGAATCTGCATCTTCTAATACGTTCCACTGATTCTCAGTACCATGCTAATTTTATCACAATAGCATTGTCCCATGTGCAGCTGAAAAGAATGTGTATTCATATGTTGTTGCATAGAACATTCTGTATGTGTCCAGTAAGTCCATTTGTTCAAAGCTTTGGTTCAGTTCTGCTACTTCTTTGCTAATATTTTGTCTGCTTGATCTATCTTTTCATTTTTTGAGATAAGGGGGTTTTAAGCTTCCTTGTTAAGACTGTGATATTGGATATTTGATTTTTCATGTCCTTTAAAACTTGTCTTAGGATGGCAAAGGTGGAGTATAGCTGCTGGAAGGCAGAGGAGCTGGCACAGCCGGTTCTGTCCTCACCATTAGGCCACAGCAGGTGCCGGTGTCAGAGAAGGTGTTTATTCAGCGAGACTACAGCAATGGCACATGCTGCCAGTTCCAGACCAAGTTCCCTGCAAAGCTGGAAAACCAGATTGATAGACAGCAGTTTGAAGAAACTGTACAGACTCTAAATAACCTTTATGCAGAAGCAGAAAAGCTCAAGGGCCAATCCTATCTCGAAGGCTGTCTGGCATGTTTAACAGCATACACCATCTTCTTATGTATGGAAACCCATTATGAGAAGGTTCTGAAGAAAGTTTCCAAGTATATTCAAGAACAAAATGAGAAGATATATGCTCCCCAAGGCCTCCTTCTAACAGACCCCATTGAGAGAGGACTTCGAGTTATTGAAATTACCATTTATGAAGACAGAGGCATGAGCAGTGGAAGATAAACCATTGACTTAAAGATCCTGCCTCCTTCTGAGACTCTCATCTGTCCACTGACTGACCACAGAGTGTCCCTACCTCGTCTCCAAGCATCATTCCTTTGTATCTGCTGCCAGAGCCATGGTGCCATTTACTCCAAGGACTAACTTTCTAAAATTCCATGCCTGGGGTGACTTCTAGTTGTTCAGCATCCACTTTGTGTCTCTAAATTGTGCAGGACTCTAATATTTTGAAGAATTTCTAAGAAAACACAATGAAGCGCTTCATTTTTAAAATTCAGAGCCATTTAGTAAAATATGCATTTGGTCACCCAGTACATTATTTCTTCCCTGCCACCAGTACCACTTTATTTCTTGGCCAGTTTCCCAGGTGGCTCCTGACTTCAACATGTCCTGTCTTAGACAGAGTTCAGTCTGATTCCCCTCAATAAAAGCTTTCTTCCAGGTGGAATTAGGTATGTCTGTATTTTTGGTAGTGAAGGTCTCAGATTTCAAAGAACTATCCATTTTGCTGTAATTCAAATCCTAAGATTCATTTCGAGTGCTCTTCAGTTTGTTGAACTGAAGCTCATTGAAGAAAATGTATAATGTGATTTGTCTCATTATAGCAACTATTCCTAATTAAAGCAGTATTTAATGCAATTTCCAGTTAATTTCTTTGGAGACTTTTATATTATTTCATTACTTTGAATGTTGGGAAGATGTGGTCTGTGTTGTTTGTTCATTACACAAGTAAGCACAATAAAGTGGATGCTAAACCATCAAACACATAAATGTCTGCTGTGTCCCTGAGTGTGTAATAAGCAAGTGTAATACATATTGTAACTGTAGTTTTTTTATAACCATAACTTATGAGGGAAACATTTGATAGGACTAATACCATATATTGCTAATTGTTAACCCAATTGGCAAACATGATTCATAGACTCTTCATATACAGTATTCAGTGCACAGACACGATGCTTGGTTAAAGTTAAGTGGTTTACAAGTTAAACCCTCAATCTGAGTCTGTATCCCTAGCTCTTCTTTTGTCTGTATTGGGTTTCTGATGCCCTTCATTCTATTGGGAGTTTGAGAGCACTGTATTTGAGAGAAAGTTAAGCATATATTAGGAAAGAATGAAGCAGTTAAAAGTTTTATTTTCAGAGATACTGTAGGTGCTAATATTGGATTTAACTTTTTTTTTCTGGATCTGGTAGTTATTCAGTAAATCTCGTAGGTCTGTGTAGTATTTTTTTAAAAAAATTTATTTATTTATTTATTTATTTATTTGTATGTGTGTGTGTGTGTGTGTGTGTGGCCAGCTCAACTCACTAGGGGGCGGTGCTGGCTGGTATGTGGTGCTGGGGGATCGAACGGTGGTCACTGTGCTTTGTTAAGCTTGTTGCAGGTGCTTTAGACCACTGAGCCATCTCACCAGCCCCTGTGTAGTATTTTAATTGTATAAAACTCCTTTATTACTTTATAGCCTGTAACAGTGTGTCTGTCTGCCTTTTAAACCCATTGCAATAACTTTGCTGAAGTATTAACACATTAGTAAAACTTTTCTTAAAAACAAAAGCAAAAAAAAATTGGGGTATAACTATGAATGTCCATTTTGTATCTGTGTATTCAAAGTGGTTGGGATAGATATATAGTTGCATTCTCTTAATGAATAGAATGATTTTTTCTAATGGTGTTTGTAAGTAGGATCACAAGTCTGCATCTTGTACAGCAATTAACCACTAAGAAGAATATATGCAGTGTATTATTTGTTGAAACTGTACTTTCGATTTGATTTGAAACTGTCTCATTGCTATATGTTTATCAATAAAACTTTGAAAAGAAAAAAAAAACAAAAGCAAAAACTTGTCTTAATTAATATATAGGTGGGTGCTCCCATATTCAGTGAATATATTTTATGACTGTTATCTCCTCCTCTTGAACTTTTCCCATAACCAGTATATAGTGACCTTCACCTTCTTTTCTCATTTGGTCATTTATTTGTTTGAAGTTCAGATTCGAACAGAATAGCTACCCCTGCTTGTTTCTGAGGTTCTGGCGCATGTAGTAGTGTTTTCCATCCTTTGACTTTCAGCCTATGAATTTCTTTATGGGTTCAATGTGTTTCTTGTATACAGCATATTGTTGGATTTTGTTTCTTAATCCACTCTGCCAGTCTATTTCTTTTAATTGGTGAATTGAGTCCATTTACATTGGTGGCTATAATATATATATATTGCAAAACCAGGGATTGAACTCAGGCCCTTATGCTTGCCAGGCAAGCACATATTCTAATAAGCTATCTCCCAGGCCCCTAATTGATATGTATTGAGTTAGGTTAGTCATGTTATTTTCCTATTGTTGATTCTCTTCTTTTATCACGTGTTTAATAGTTTGCCATGTTTGATGGGTCCTTTCCATTGTTGTTCTTGGAATTGTGGGTATTGTGATCCCCTTATAGAATATCTTGTAGTATTATTTGTGGGATTAGTTTGGTCATCATGAATTTCTTTGGTTGTACTTTGTCACTGAAGTATTTCACTTCTCCATTAAACTTGAAAGACTTTTGCAGGGTATATCACTCTAGGTTGGAATATGTTTTCTTGGAGGAGTTGAAGTACTTTGTTCCATGCTCTTCTTGACTTATTGGTCTGTGAAGAGAAATCGGCTGTTATTCTAATGGGTTTTCCTTTAAATGTGATGTTTCTTTTCTTTAGCAGCTTTTAGTATACTGTTCCTGTGCTGAATTTCTGGGATCTTGAATATTGTATGTCTTGGTGTTGTTTTAGTTGAGTCGATATTATTTGGAATTCTATATGCTTCAGTTACCTGAACGTCAGATTGTTTTCCCATATTTGGGAAGTTTTTTGCTATTACTTTTGCCCATATTGTTTTTATGTCATTTATATTGACTCCTTCTTTCTCATTGATGCCAATCAGTCTTATGTTGTTCATGTTTGCATCGTCTTGCAGATGTTGAATTATTTTTTCCTGCATCCTTGTTTTTAAAGGATCTTCTCTTACCTTTTCACTAGTGGCAACGATGTCTTCAAGGTCTGAAACTCTTCACTTTCATTCAAGTGGGTTTGCCAGCTTGTGATTGAGGTTTTAATTTCCTGTAGATCTGTTTGAATCTGCTTCATGCATTCTATTTCTTTCCTGTATTGCTCATTCAAGGATTCCGTCATTTTTCTATTCTCCTCTATTTTTTATCAGTGTCATCTTTTGAAGCATTTGGCAATTCTTTCATTATAGTTATCATTTCTTTATTTCAGAGATTATTGCTAATCTGATTTCTTCTATACCTTTCTGCAGTTATTTCTTTACTTCAGGCACTATTATTTCAGAGATTTCAGGTGTGTGGCTTCTAGTTTCTTCTGTTATTTTCTTCTGCGTTTGTTCCAGGTGGGCTCAGGGCCTGAGAATAAATTTTGCTTCTTCTCTTTGTCATTTTGTATAGCACTGTTTTCTGAACTTTAGTGTGGGCTTTGGTGCATTTATTACCTTAGTGCCTACCTATATTATTACCCAAGGGATGTGGTTAAGGCAGTTACAGTTTTGTATTTACAGTACTACAATTAGCAACACTAATAATTAGTAGTAAGATTTAGCAATTGACAAAATTTTGTAACTGAGGGGTCTGTATTTTAAAACATAAGGGCAAACATTATGACTGTATAGCTAAACAGATATTAAATTGGGACTTTGTGTTTAAATTAGTTCCCCTAAGTTCTGTCTGGTCACCTCCCCTTGATGTACCTGGAGTCTTCCAGGAAGACTACATAATCCCAGTTACCTGTTGTCCCCTCTCCCGATCAAAAGAGAGAGGAAGGAGGGAGGGGGAGAGAGAGAGAGAGAGAGAGAGAGAGAGAGAGAGAGAGAGAGAGAGAGAGAGAGAATGCATTCATAGATCTGGGTCTAGCCTGGCTTGGGTGTGGCTGCTGTGCTAGGCTTCTTACTGATGCAGCCCGTGGAGGTGAACCTGCTGTGCCCCACTGGCAAGCTAATCTGCTTCTGGATTAGCTTGCTAGATCTTGCCCCTAGAGTCTCTGCTGGGAGTTCCACTGTGGGGTTCTGCTCTAGGTCTGACCGCTGGCTGGAGGGAGGTTCTGGTGGGCCCCAGGACCTACACGCCAGGCCACTGACTGAAGGCGGGAGGTTCTAGCAGGTGCCAGCACTGTCTGTTGGCTGGAGGTACGAGTTCTGGGCTGAGGCTGGGGCTGACCACTGGCTGCTGGCTGGAGGCAGGAGGTTCTATGAGGCGCTGGGCCTTAGATTCTTCTTTAAATACTCAGATTTTTTTAAAAAATAAACATATAAGTAATAACATTATTTTTAGAACAATATTCAATCATTTTACTAAGGAGGATTCTCATATTTTTTATTAAGCATTTTATTCTTCTTCGTTTCTTTTTCTTCATCTGGTTCTTTTTTGAGCAGTTATCAATCTGTGTGCTTTGTCTGTCCATACTATGTCTATTACTGATCTTGGGATCATATGCTCAAAGAAAAATGCTAATTGAAGAATTTTGAAAATTTTCATTGCAACAATCCCACTTAGCATTTCAAAATCATGCAAATCAAGAGTACAAAGATAATTGGAGAATGAGTTATTGGAAGTTGTTTTGCATACTGTTTTATTTCTTGTGCTTTCTGCTGCTTAATGTATTTCAAGCTGAATATTCTTCCTTTTATTCCAATATATTTGGTATTCAGTGCAACCTATAATCTGTGGGCCATGAGCCTTCTACATGTGACCTCATTATATGTTTTATCCAATACCTTATTTGAGAAATATTCACTGGATTCAAAGAGAACTTCTGTGAGACTCAGTGACTCTACATCATATGATATATTGTTGAAGTTTTAAAAAAATATGTTTGTTATTATTCTGCTGATTTTATAAAATATTTGATTTCAGTGATTACAGTATTTTGATCATATCATCTCATAATCTTTCTTACATCACTTACCCACATGTTTTTCCTCATGTCTCATTCTCACTTCTATTTCCATGTCATCTTTTTATTTTGATTCCACACATTAGAAAGAACAAGTGATATTTATCTTTCTGAATCTCTCTTATTTTACTCAACATGGTGTTATCAAGATCCATCCATTTTTCTCCAAATAAACACGTATGCTCTTCAGAGGTGAGTAATTCTCTGTTGTATGCCTATACATTTTCTTTATATATTCATCTCTTGATTGGCACCTAGTTTGGTTCCATATCTTGGCTACTGCAAATTGCGGAACAATTAATATGGGTATATAATATGGAATAGTATAGCTGGATTAAACGGTAACTCTTTCTAGTTTTGAGAGGACCCTCCATAATAATTTACATAGTGACTGTACTAATTTATAATCCCACCAGCGTGTAGAAAGGTGCCTTTTATTT